CGTGCCCCCCTATTTGAGTAACACTGGGATAGACCAAGGCAAACCAACAAGAAATGGTTCATGGCAATAGCCTAGTGTATATTGTTGAAAAGTAAAATATGTGCAGATTCTCAAAGATATTTCACTTTTTATACATTTTAATTCTTTTGGTGCTTGCATGCTTTTGTCATTGTCCTGGTTTTACATTTTGGGTCGTGTCTCTCACCTTGGGTTCAAAGCTAGGCATCAGTGATGAGGCTCCGTCTGCAAGCATCATGCCCCTCCTTTTTCTCCCTCACTGTCTCTTAGCACGCCCTCTCATATACACTCTCTGCTGCTCACACTGAGTGGTGAGAGCACTGGAACATTGAGTACCTTCAGCACATTTTTCACATTCCCCTTTGAGGGTCTCAGCCACTGCCCCCACTACACACACACACACACTCTCTCCAACACCCACACACAACCACAAATGTTTCTCACCAGTGGGCAGTAATATGTATGTTTTGTCTGTACCGCTGGTTGTGGTGCGCGTCATGGCAGTCCAGTGGCAGAGAATAGCATGTCAAAGCTCTGTGTGCGTCAGTGGTCCTGGTAATTGGGGATGCTTTTTGTCAGTGTACCAACCTGCACCTTTCTCTGCCTGCTTTCTTCTCTCCAGCAGCAGCGTGTGTGGTGAGTGGCAGTGGCAAAGATGACGGAGTATAAGCTGGTGGTGGTGGGAGCTGGAGGCGTGGGCAAGAGTGCACTCACCATCCAGCTCATCCAGAACCACTTTGTGGATGAATATGACCCCACCATAGAGGTATGGCTCTCTTCTCTATGTTCTACACATTACTTGTTGTTGTTGTTGTTGTTGTTGTTGTTGTTGTTTTTAGGGTGGGAAGGTATTGAAGCGTTGAGTACATTGTTTTACAAACAGGCTTTACCTGCCCATCACTTTTACACCTAGACTATGTGGTAGAAGCGCATTCATTACTGACACATTTCATACAAATGTCCAGTCCCACAGTCACAGCTGAACAATATTGTGTGGACCATGCCAAGATGACAGCTCGGTCTAAACCAGTGCTGCTAATTATGTTCTGTTACGCCCCCCCTAGGAAGAAGTAAACATTTCACGCCCCCCAACCCTCCGCCGCGACTGTAAATAGTATCATTTGTCTATAAAATTGTTATAAGTACACCTCTGCATAACATTGTGTCCTTATTAACATTAAAGAAAACAAAAAAGAAATATAGATCAACTTACAACAAAGAATAACTTTATTAACATTGATTTTTAGTCTGTAACAGAAAAGACTTAAAATCAATTTGTCTGAATTTTTTTTAAAAATTCAATCCTTATTTAAACTGTAAACATTTTTTGACCATTTGATACGTTTTCGCTGAAAAAACTCAAGCGGCTTATCAGCGTGATTGGGGTGTAATGTCTTTAAGTGACGCCTTAATTTATTTGGCTTCATGCTGTTCGCTGCCAACATTTTTAGACAGTAATCATACCGGTCTTTCCTCGTCTCCCACCTTAGTCACAGTGAAGCCAAGCGCTACATACGCTTCGTCATAATTCCTCATCTTAGCTTTCGGGAGACTTACGTTTGTCTCATTATCTCCGTCTCTCCCGGGGTCACACGCACCCCCCCCCGGCATCGCTCCGTGCCCCCCTATTTGAGTAACACTGGTCTAAACCAACTTAATTTAATTATTTGAAATTCTCCAAATGGTCAGTCTTGGAAGAAAATCTTCATTTTGTCTTAAGAAGAAATATTTGCTTTGGAATTCTTCAATTTTTGTGAAAGTAAGACACTGCAGACATAAGAGAGGGCAGCCATTGAGACCGTTTTTCCTCTCTTTTTCTGCCTCTGTCTCCACTTTCTCCCTCTCTTTCTCACCACGCCCGCTTCTGGCCAGACAATGTCCTTTTTGTGTATTTGCATTCCTGGCTCCTATGCTCTAACAAACAAAGGGACAGCACTCCACATTTTTGTGGCTGTGTGTTGGAAGGCAAAACATTAGCTTTGACACCCTGCACCTCTGAACTCTTCATGTTCATTTGACCTGGAAGTGCAAAGGGAATCAATAATAGATATCAGTTAATGCATGGTCAATCAACATTATAGCCCTGTCTGTGTGTATGCACGTGCTGCTTAGCACTGAGTGACCAAGGGTGTGACATCCTCAGTGTTAATGATGATGGACCCACAGTTCAAATCCCCCCTGGTCATGTTTCATGTGTTTCTCCCTTTTTTGCTGCAGGATTCATACAGGAAACAAGTTGTGATTGATGGGGAGACCTGCCTGCTGGACATCTTGGACACTGCAGGTCAGGAGGAGTACAGCGCCATGAGGGACCAGTACATGAGGACAGGGGAGGGCTTCCTCTGTGTCTTCGCCATCAACAACACCAAGTCCTTTGAGGACATTCACCAGTACAGGTGTGTGTTTCAAGGAAAGATGGAGCGCATATGGCATCACAAATAGTGGAAGTGATATTGAGAATGTTGTGACCTACTGGTGTGCTCTTGTGTAAATGCTGGCCAGGTCATAGACCAGTCAGGGTGGGGTTTATACACCGAACAATGTGATAGTTCCCTTCTGAGCTTCTATGTATTTGTATATACAGTGTGTGTTGCAAGGATTTTCACGAGGTATACAGTGTGTGTTGCAAGGATTTTCACGAGGTCTGGGGGGGGAGAGGGGTGTGGACATGTGCATGCCAGCTCTCTGCAGTAGTGGGGTGATGTCATGCTGTAGCGTTTAACACGGCTAAAGAAAGCTTAGCCCCCAACTGGAGGATTACAGCACGATGCCAGTGAAACTGATCCTGACTCAATTAGAAGAGCAGGGAGAGGTAGTGCTCCCAAGGACAGAGAAGGAGAAAGGCAGGGAGGAGAAGAGATTCAGCTGGAGATGACACAGTTCTCTCTTTGCCACACTATATCTTTCTCATCACATTAGACACCTACTTGCCTGTCTTGCATGTGGCAAGTAAAAGAGGCTGCATATTAACTTTGCCATCTCCTCTACAGTTTGGCAAGGCTTTTGAGTTTATTAATCACACATTTGTTTGGCTAGCTGTCACTGCAGTTCAGCCCTTGTTTGGGCCTGGCTTTAACACAGCTGCTGGCATCACTGTTAAACTGTTGAGCCGCTTGTGAAAGCATGCATGGATCTATGTCTGGCTGTTAGAGCTGCTGAGGAATTTAAAGCTCTGTTGTCTCTTTTACAGGCAAAGGTAGTCTGAGGTGTTTTTGTAAAACTTCTCTACAGTTGCTACATGCTGACACCACTTGGCACCTGCCTATAACTGGGCACCTAGCCAGCAATATTATTCCATAGTCAGGAATGAACCCGGTAGATAAGATTATATCTGCTTTTGGTGTTTACTGGCATTTTTAATACATCTGTTAAACTTGAAATACCTGCCTCAACAGCACACAAGAAGTCCATGGTCTGAACAGTGTAATATGTTGGCTGTGATATCAAGACTCAGCAAGTGTGGCCACATAAGCAGAATTAGGAGTGTTGACTGCAGACTGTAGTGGATGCATGCTGCTCTACTGTGGCTCAGGAAGAAGAAGGGCAGAGCTGATTGATCTGACCTGCCCTCACTGACTTCCTCCCGACTGCCTGGTGTTTGGCGCTGGCTGCTGTAGTGATGAGGTAATGCTGTTTGCTGCCTGCCTGTTGTCCATCCCTCCCCCTCCCCCTCCCTCCCTTCCTCTCCACCTCTCTCCTTCAGCAGTGCAGCACAGCCCAACACCGGCAGAGCTCTGGCTCTTCCTCAGGGTCCTAGAGCTCCCTGGGTGATAGGCTCCCTAGTGATGGAGCTGCTGTTGTTTGTTAAGTAGGGAGGATCCCACACAAGAGAGATGTCAGGCTGACTGCATACATGGTTAAGGAAATAGTGCAAACATGCAAAGTTTTGCAAATAAATGTCATCTGTTGCAGTTTCCATCTTTGTCAATTCACAGAGAACAGATTAAACGTGTAAAGGACTCAGATGATGTTCCCATGGTGCTTGTGGGCAACAAATGTGACCTCCCAGCACGTACAGTGGACACAAGACAAGCCCAGGAACTCGCTCGCTCCTATGGCATCCCATATATCGAGACCTCTGCTAAGACACGACAGGTATGCAGTGACCAAGAAGCGCATACCCACATACTGTAGATGCATTGCCATGGAAGAAAGCTGTTGTGTTTCTCTTTTTCTTGCATTTAAAATATACTTTATCAACTTACACATTTACAATAACTTGAAAAAACATATATTCCCCCTGTCCCTTACACAGCTTCAAAACTCAGATATTAAGCCCCACAGTGCTGCAACACATCGTAGTCGGCAAGTTACAGTGGTATTCTTGTACGGACTCTTAACTTTTACATGTGTACTCATGCACATGAAGAACAGTGAATTTCCCATGGTAAGATGTGGTCTGCGTCGCTGGGAACATTTTATCATGCCGCAGGCAATGACTCATAGCCAGGTTACCTTAGCTTGAGAACAGAGCTACAGTATTTGAAAGGCCTTAGAAGGACTAGTTGTCACACAGCTCCCACTATCTCTGACTCACTGTCACACTTTATGTAGGTACACACAGACTCTCACATTCATCATTAACCCCGCCGAATATCTGTCATTCAAACTAAAGAATTAAGTAATGACTTCTTTTTTGCCATTATGATTTTTTTGATTAACGCCAACTTAAATGAGCAGTGTTGCTATGGTAATGTTGCACAGCCTCTCAATGGTAAGTACAGCTGAGAGGTTTGATGTCATTTATAAGGAGTGCATACACTGTTTAAGTACTCATCCTTCTGTAACTTTTGTGTGTTTTATAGGGAGTAGAAGATGCCTTCTACACGCTGGTTAGGGAGATCAGACAGCATAAGTTGAGGAAGCTGAACCCACCTGACGAGAGTGGTCAGGACTGTATGAGCTGTCGCTGTGTGGTGTCGTGATGCAGGTTGAGAGATTTGTTCTTTTTTTTTTCTTTGACAGCTAGTATACAGAGTAATATGGAAAGTCTTATTTTTTGAAATTCATACAGTGGGGCAAATAAGTATTTGATACACTGCCGATTTTTCAGGTTTTCCCACTTACAGAGAATGGACAGATCTGTAATTTTCATCGTAGGTACACCTCAACTGTGAGAGACAGAATCTACAAAAAATCCAGAAAATCACATTGTTAGATTTTTAAATAATTTATTTCCATTTTATTGCATGAAATAAGTATTTGATCACCTACCAACCATCAAGAATTCTGGCTCTCACAGACCTGTTAGTTTGTCTTTAAGAAGCCCTCCTATCCTCCACTCATTGCCTGTATTAATTACACCTGTTTGAACTCGTTACCTGTATAAAAGACACCTGTCCACACACTCAATCTATCAGACTCCAACTTCTCCACTATGGGCAAGACCAAAGTGCTGTCTAAGGACACTAGGGACAAGATTGTACAATTGGACAATAGGCAAACAGCTTTGTGAGAAGGCAACAACTGTTGGCGCAATTGTTAGAAAATGGAAGAAATTCAAGATGACTGTCAATCTCTATCGGACTGGGGCTCCATGGAAGATCTCACCTCGTGGAGTATCAATGATCCTGAGAAAGGTGAGGGATCAGCCTAGAACTACACGGGAGGACCTGGTCAATGACCTGAAGAGAGCTGGGACCGCAATCTGAACGGTTACCATTAGTAACACACGACACCGTCATGGCTTAAAATCCTGCAGCGCACGCAAAGTCCCTCTGCTCAAGCCAGCACATTTCCAGGCCTGTCTGAAGTTTGCCAAAGACCATCTGGATGATCCAGAGGAGGCATGGGAGAAGGTCATGTGGTCAGATGAGACCAAAATAGAACATTTTGGTATAAACTCCACTCGCTGTGTTTGGAGGAAAAGAAGGATGAGTACAATCCCAAGAACACCATCCCAACCGTGAAGCATGGGGGTGGAAACATCATGCT